GGTTACTAGAGTGTGCAATAGCCTTTGAGTTGTTTTGACTCATCTGGAAATACAATTAAGACTCAGTCAAGACGTTTTGTTTTGACAAGACAACATGCACTGTGCCAGCTGAGCTTTGTCATACTATTTTCGTCATTTCTAGCAAGTACAAGACGCAGCATTCAGTCTACCTAACTGTCTTTCCATCTGTCTATCTATTTCGTATTTCGTATAGATCTAGAGATAATTCTAACTATCTCGATGAAAGGGAAATGAGAGACAGCATTTCACTAACTGGTACAAATTGGGAGGAGAGTGATTATCATTCAAAGGAATCAGCTTTAAATGAATGAACCACTTGTTTTCATTCTATATTCCCTTATGTGTCAATCAGCAGAAATCAGTGTACAGTGTAATTAATCATTTATAGGATGGTATGAACCTCACTGTAAATTACATAATTTTTGTGCACAACTTTACTTTGTTCTAGGCCACATCTGTCTGTCTCATATTAGAGCACTAACAAGATACAAGCCACCCATTTGCAAATGTCCAGCAGTAGTAAAACTCATTAGGGAAGGTCTTTGGTTAAGCATAACACCCATATTAATCAAAGTATGAGGTCAAACAGACTAAATGTTATAGCTTAATAGGGGCTTCAACAGTGAGACTTGACTTTATTCATCCTACTGCCTCTTTATTGATTTTTATGTGTAACTGCAACAATTTATCAATTCAGTCATTCATCAGCTTGCCCGCAACAGAAGCCCTGAAGCATTACTGACGTGAACTCACTCTACCGCATGACTTTGATTTTCAACGCTAGACTTGCAGTGATTTATAATGTAAACTGCAGAGTGATGAAGCTGAAGCAACTTTAGAAGGAAAGATGCATAAATTACTTGTAATTCATTTTAAACTGCTCCATTAAAAAAAACATCTGACGCAAACGTTCAAATGTAAGCGACAAATAAAATAAGCAAAAGATGCCTTGTAATCGTCACAAATATCAATATTTCCACATGATCATTTTGTCACTCCAGTGCAGACTACTATTTTGCACTGTAAATCCAAATTTTTTGATGTGCCATTAAAATCCTATTTTTTTTTCAATTTCAAATGAAAAACATATTAATAATGAAATTGATCTCATGCGTAAAAGTGTCAGGATTTCCAAAAAAACTTTTCTAATTTCCCCACAAATGTACAGGTGCTAGTAATTGCATTTCTGTAGGGATTTTTCTTTTCTAATTAGTTTCTTTCTTAAAAAGTCAAAACACTCATCTTACCCGAACACGAATGAAGAGGCTTCGGTCGTACAATGAGCGAAGGGCACACCGAGTAGAGAGAAAGTTTCTCAAAATAATCACAGGTCTCCTTGGAGAGGATCTCGTCAATCATGAAAGTCTTGTAGCGCCGCCTGGCAGCCTTCAGCTGCCCGGGGGAGGAGAGCCTCAACTCGGCTTGACAGTGCATGGTCTGTCCCTGTGCGCCGTGCGCTATCTTCGCAGAGCGCGAAAGTTTGCTCACTGATGTCTAAGGTTATACAAGTTTAACCGTGTGGAAAACGCGACTACTGGAGCTCATGCGTTTAAATAAGTCATTTTTTGACTTTCAAAAGGCAGTTTAGCTTTCCCTGAAGTGTCGTGGTGAAGATCAGCAGCCTTCAACTTGAGCTGCGCAGAGCGCCACGGTGAAAATGAACTGACTACGATCTGTGCTCACACCCACTGCTATATAAACCGTCCCTGAACACATCTCTACTGCTCCATCTCTCTCTCTCTCCCTCTCTCTCTTTTACAAATACACTTATGTACTGTACATACACATGACCACCTCCCTAACAAGCCCCCACCACCACCAAACATTTTCTTCTCTCGCTATGATCTCCTTTACTTGTTGTTTTTCGAGTTAGATATATTAATATAATCAATAAAAAGTCTATTTTAAACCAAGTATTATTATCAAAGTTTCAGATCAAATCCAAAGACCTCTGTGGTATTAATTCATTTTAACAAACATCGTGCCAATTCTTTTGTTTCAAAACTTTTGAATAAGCCTATTTGTGCATGTTTTAATTTAGGTCTTGATGCATCCTCCTCTAACTTTCCTCTTTTCTTATTAACTCAACGCAACTTTGCTTCAGACATACAATACACGGTCTACTCTTTCGATATTTTAACTTTGGACACAAACAGAAAAAAAACGTAAAATGCCATAGGCTGCCAAGGCCAATCAAACCAGTGAGGGTAATGATGGGTTCATGTTTTCTTTCTTTCATAATTCTTAAATCATTGATATATAAATGGGTTGTGTCCTGTCCAGAGTAGAAACACAGATGACAAGATTCAATTTTGTAAACTTTTAACATTATTTAAATTGTATTATAATTGTTACTATTAAATATAATAATAATAATAATAATAATAATAATAATAATAATAATAATAATAACATTTAATTGTCGCAAAATAGCGTAGGGAATTTCTTGTTGAAAGAGTAGATAAGAAAAACACTAAAATTACAGGCTACTTATAAAGAAGGAAAGTCAGGAGCCATAACTGCGGTTGTAGGCCAAGTCAGTAATGTAATTTTCTTTATTTACTTGCTAACTACACTGACGCATGCAATTACAATTTATTATTAATCAACAATTATGTGCGCGTGGCAATAAGGCAAGCCAAGTAAAAGACCGTCTCACTAACAACATATATCTCAAACAAATAAGAGCAAGAGTACCTGCAACTCATTTTCCAGTTTGATTCAACGATAAAATCAAACTTAACATTATTATTGGTCAGTCTGATCAAAAAGGCTTTAAGGAAACGTAACAGTCTATCAGTCTCAGGCATACCGGCTGATGTGTCTGACAATCATGTCAGTTCCCTTGACAAGCTGAATCTCTCCACATGCTTCTCCCTGACATAAACCTTTTGTGCTTTTTTCTATAAATCCACCTTTTAATGATATGTATTGAATCTGAATGAGAATCAGCATTATTGCCAATTTGGTTTACACATACAAGGAATTTTGCTTTGGTGTTTTGGTGCACAATGAACATAGCAGGTAGACAAATAGGAGAAAGATAAAGATAGAGCAAGTACTGCAAGTCAAAGTATCACAGTAATAAAACATTTAAATTTCCTATTTTATTTCGTTCTTTAAAAGCTCTCACATAGGCCTATTGCAGATTTGTGCGGATAGGCTATTTGTTTGAAAAACTAAGTAGACGAGGTCATAAAAAGAGTTTTACTTTTTGTTAACGATTCACATGTTGTAGGCTAATTTAACTCAAATGAAAGCCGACCCATAACTATGAGGAAACCCGGTGCAGGTAGGGTTTCAAGTAGCGTCGGTGTCCTAAGGCGGATCCGATTATCATCACTAGAACTGGAAATAAATTGAACTCGTTGGCGTCTTGTGCCCCCGAAGTATGTAGTGTTCAAAGTGTGGAGGAGGAAATATGGGAGCTCTGCATGGTAAAGCTCGGCTTCTTATCAGAGGCTTGATGGCTCGATCAAAGGGGGGTGGGATGAGAACAACTGCTGTGAAGCACACTTACTTTTTGAGGGTCGGGTGGAGAGGGAAGCCACTGTATAAATGAAACGGGAGGGAGGTGGAGGTTAAGCTTAAAATTTCCTGAACTTTTTTAATTAGTCTATCATTTTACTGTAAACTGTATTTTCTTTTCTTTTTTACTAAAGCGTCATTTTCTGGGAGGTTTCACTAAAGAAAATGTAGGCCTATGTAGGCTAATTAATAATACCTTGGATATAGGCTAACAGCATTAACTGATTTTAGCAAACGCGACAATAGGCTACATGAGATAATCCCAAATTTTGGCAATACATGTTCACATGTTTTAAGGGAATTAAAATGGCGTCAAAAGACAAAGACTAGTTAAGTTAGGCCCACGTTCTGGGCTACTGTGGCACCGTGAACCCAACAACCTGCAGGCATCTTGTCACTTGTGGTCTGCGTTGCAGGACTGTTAAGAAGTAGGGTGTTCGGAAGTGGATCATTTCAGGAGACACGCTTCTATACAAGTCCACACAGCAGCGGCTACCGAGCTGCCTCTCTAATCCGCCCGTTCCAGGGCTGGAGACGCCAGGCAGATCAACCAATTAAAAGAGTTATGCCACTTCCATAAGCGTAATAAGGGGCTTCCTAGTACTGACACCGAACAGAGGATACTCTCTATTAGAGCGATTTGGGAGCATCAGGATGCAATATGACACGAGACAGATAACAGGCAAGACACAGAGCTTATTGCAACGGGTGCAAATGCACCTCCACTTTTGGACACTGGGAGATTTATTGGGGGTTATAGTCGTCGATACAGCGCAGGAGCCTCTCAGTGGCATAAGCACTTTCGGAAGGGTAGATTATGACCTCAACGCGGACATTAAGGGATTTGATCACCACTTTGTTTTAAGCAAACCCGAACAGACACTGGGGCATCAATGCTGATCGCAACACATATGTTAAGGATCAAGTTGCTGCTAATTCTGGGATGGGATAATAGCCTTTACTTCGTTCACATCTGTAAATTGACCAGAACCTGTGCCATATACAAATCAGTGTTAAGACTGATAAAAGACAAGCCATGGTTGTGTTCAACTCTGGTGAAGACATGCACCTAAACATAATTGCATGGTGTAAAGTGAACAGGGTGTCAAATCCATGTAAAGACTTGAAAGCATCCTAAATAGAAAGGTCACACGTAGGAGCTGATCATGTGGCTCAGTTATATTTAACATCTTAATTGATTCAATAAAAAGGATGTGCATGGCGCCACCTGTAGATTACTTCATAACCCACTGAACAAGCATATTAGTTACACATGTGCCATTTATAGGTGCAGATCAGGCCATGTGTGCATGCATTACTGCATGTAGCATCTACATTCAATAGCTCACTTGGTTAACTGTCACATACACAAAGAGCTGTAAATAGCATTCATGATGAACAGCCAAGTCCCAGGCATTTGTGTTGTGGCCAGAAGAAAGACAATGCAACAATCAAATGAAAAGGAGCTTTATAAGAATGAAAATGTTCATTTTAAAATGGTTGTCTTACAGACTGAGAATAAAAAAACTAAAATAAAGCCCTTTTTTTTTGCTTTTTTTTTTTTACAAAGAGCAAGGATAGATCTAACATTAAGAAAGGATGGTGCCCTGTGGCAGTAAAAGTGGTGCTGGTGGAATCTTTAGCTGAAACATTTGTTCTTTTTTTGCAAAAGTACCTGAAGAATTTTTTAAGTTCTGGGAGCACCATTTCATTACTATTTGCATAACATAAAAACCGGCCAATATCCTAAATCTTTTTTTTTTTTTTTTAAATGCATGTTTTTTTCCAGCCATGTCTGATTTTTTTTTTCCCCTTGCTCCCATGACAATACAGTTCTTCCCCTCAAAATATCTGCAACATCTGTGAGGAAAAGCTCACATGGAAGTGTACAAATTTAAAAACACCTTAAAAAGTAAACAAAAAATGGCTCTAAGGCATACGTTATTAAATCTTCAAACTCGATCATGTACAAACAACCTGAGTATACATGTGAATCCGTCAACATAATTGATGATTTTTTTTTTTTTTTAAGTAAGCTGTCCACAAATTTGTGAAGGACTGAAGTCTTTACAGAAATCCCTTTGTGTCTCAATATCGTCGCCATCTATTATCTTGGTAGCCACGGCTGCCACCCCTCTCGCCATGATGTTTGTTGCCACCTCTGCTGTCATGGTGTCGGTTGCCACTCCTGTCATTCTGATGGTAGTTGTCCCGGCTGTGGCCGAGTTGCTGATGACGGGCGGAACTTGATTCCTCTGTGTAGCGCTGATTTCTGCCACTGCTGTTCATCTGGGATGACTGATGCCGATAGGGGGTTTTATCGTGTTGCCTTGAGCCACCTCTGCCAGAATTTCCACCTCCAGGTGGTTGCCTCTGCAGAGGCTTGGAGGAGCTGCCATTCAACTGCTGAAACTGCTGCATTTGGAGCTGCCACATCATGTTGCTCATCTACGGATGAAAGAAAAGGCTGATAACAGGACCTGTGTTTCATACGGTTCACTTAGGCCAAAAAGTGCATTTCTATTCTTGTCAAATTATACAGTGTACACATTTCTTCATATAGGCACATTTGAACAAGCAGAGAGCATGTCTTTATACATCACATCTTAAATAGAGACAGTAGTGCTGTGTCTTATTAAAAAAGAAAAAGCATAAAATAAAGGTTACCATGACATTCTTCTGCAGATTATCAGGAGACGAAAAAGACCTCTGCATTTGAGGCGGAGGAGTGTACGGTGGAGAACTGAACTGGATGGGGGTCCTGTAAGAGTAAAGCTAATCAGTGTCAATTTTCTCTTAAAGCAATGAATGAAAAGAGCAACAAGTCTACATAAGGTCAGCTGCACATTGACCCATCTACTTCCCATAAAATCAAAGTCTGACGTCAACATTTCTGATTATTTTAATTATTGCCAGTTCATGTTTTTATTCACGCTTTGACCTTATTTCACCTATTCTATATTTACAGAAAGGTCATGCGTTTTAAGATGTCATAGAATCACTTGAAAAACTACTTCTGAGTCATGTTCACATAGATATTCAGCTGGATATCCAAGAGGGGGATAAAAATGAGCACTTGGGAGAATAAAAGGATAATCTGTCTCTAACAATAAAGCCAGCAAAAATACAGGTGGTAATATTAATGAAGGGTGACACCCATCCAAGAGTGCTTTCCTATTGTTTTGATTATGAGTGATTCAACCACACAACGATCATTAAGATCCACTGTAAAACTTTAAAACACCTGTGAATACAGACAGATAAAAGATTTTAGTACAGTACATCCCTTTATCAAACGTGATGTAAACAAGAACCTGCCAACACAAACTAAGACTTCAAGACAAGAACAATCAGGAGCTAGTTCCACACAATTCATCCATCCACCCACACCAGCCAGATATCACCATTGCATCAACTGGGAGAATGCTCAAGATAATTGGCATGTTGAATTTATGCTGCGGTTGTTGAAAAACCAAGAGAGAACTGCTGAGATGTGCGATATAATAACCTATCAACATGTCCATCAGCACTGACAGAAAGCAAAGTCTGACAGATCCAAGGGACTGGGTATTTACCTTCAACTGATGTTGCAATAAGTGCATTATTCATAACTGAACTAGATAATTTGTTTTCCTTTTGTGAAGTTCCTTGCTGTCAAAAAGAACTCAGCTGTCCCCAAGCCAACAGTGGAAATTAGTGACAGTCACAAAGGGGATTAGCCATGCCAAAGTATGGAGTAAGAGGGCTAAAAGGGCATACTTTAATTACAATCATTATGATTTCATTGAGGCTTTCTATTCACAGATTTGTTTTCCATAGCTGCAGTGACAGTTACATAATTAGTTAAAACATATAGTTAATTAGTTATAACATACAAAATTTCCAATTAGTTCTAGATGGATACATGTAGAAAAAGGTATATGAATTGAACAGTTTTTTTAAACTACCAAGTCTGTCTTTCCCAACAAATATGTTAAGTTACGCTTTTCTCAATTCTAGTAGAACAGATTGACATAATTTAAGCACCACAGAATGCAAGACTACATTAAACTGGACTGATACTGCCAAATTTAACTAGGGCTAATACTTTCAAGTTTTCCAGCAAATGCCCTAAATAGGCACTGGTGCATGAAATTTGGCATGAAACGTGGAAAGGATTGCACACCGAGTCTTCTGTGTGTGTAAATACAGACCAGTCCAATCCCATTTCATACCACATATTTTGCCAGAGCGCCAGTTTTTGTACACAAGGCACTGCCAAGACCATGAAAAAGGTCCAATGTCCAAGTAATATTCAATAAGGAGGAAGCATCTTTGAGAACAAATCCCCCCACAGGGACCAGGGCTAAGAGGCAATGACGAGCCAATGGCTGCTGTAACGCTACTGATGGTAACAAGGTTTTGTTGCAAGCACTGTTGCTGGACAAACTGTTCATGAGACATCATTACCTCTGGCCATGGGGATTTGGGGTATTTGCAGGACTTGAAGTCTGCGAGTTCCCTGGACTGCTGCTGTGACTGCTACCTATGATGGGGCAAAGGGAACAAAACACAGTTTATTAGTTAAGGACAAAACAATTCAAGTTTGAAAATAACTGCCACACTGTGCAAGTACAACAATCTTGTACTTTTATTATTGTGTTTCACACCGTCAGACATTTTCAGTGATGATGTAGCTGGTATGAAACAGGATCACGTCATACACAAATATGTTCCTCCCAGCGGAAGTCTAATTTTAAAGATGTGCAGACTACGGTTATAACTTATAAAATCTATGAATTCATCTAGAAATTATGATAAAAATCGATCTTGCCCCGTTTTAAAGCTATGCTTTAATATGTTTTTTTAGTTATGCCATTGTAATTTTGTTTCTGTTGGAAAGCAATTTGTGTTCTATGCTTGGCAAGTACTTTTCTTATGAATATTTTAATCACTGCTGCCTGAACACAAGTAACTGAAGAGCCTCTACACAAATAGACTTCAAAAATCACTGAGGTCCGTTAGCGCAAATGAAGTAAAAGGTACAAAAACCTAGTTCAGAGAAGCTGCTCACTGTACATCTATAAGACCATTGTCACAACACCACATTTTATTTAAACTTCAAAACAAACTTGGTTTATTGATATGCATGTTTAATATGATTACTGGGACTACTTCATAGGTGTGCAAATACCAAAAGTTAACTGATGTTCTAAAGAACATGTCTCAACAGGAAATTAAACAAAGCCGTGGTATAAATCAGCTTATCACACCATACATTAGCCCCTTTACGAACAAAGCTAATTACAACCCACTGTGAGCTACAGCTAAAAAGTTTCATGTCATATTACGGTCCATTTTATCATAACGTAGCATTGACTTTGAAGAGTCAATGCTAGCAAAGAAAGAAAAAAATAAAAAAAATAAAGTGCTGTTAGCCAGTCTTTAGCCGGTGTTTGATGCACATACAGCTGGGCTCCTATTCACTTTTATCAAACTTCCTCAACAATACCAAACACATTTGAACCCATTGCTCCTAGGTCTACCCGCCACTTGGCGGGTTAATATATCCAGCATATAATTTCTATTTGACGGTAATTAGAAGCAGACTGGCGTTGGTGGATGTGTGTCACACTGAAATTAGTCCCCAATGTACCAAGGTATCAAAAATCGTGTAACACCGATTAGGGACGTTCATTTGTTGTTATTGTTTGTGTTCATTTCAGGTTACTTGTGTTTGATTGGCGTAGATTCGTGGCATTAGGGGACAGGCAACAGGAGTCGGGAAGGGAGAGTGACGCCAGGAATCCACTGACTCCGGCTACAGCAAGTTACGGCTGCGCCCAAAGCCCAGCGTCAAAGTCCACTGGAACACATTATTTACTTATTAAATTTGTCCTTTTGTGCTTCTACTACATCCTTCACAGCTCTATGTGATCCCGTTTCGTTCCGTTAACTTCAGGCTGCATTTCCCACAAGGTGCATTTCACAATCAGAGCCTTTTGCCTGTCTGATTTTGCTGACATGTTTAGATTTTGTTGATTTGGTAATCAGAGTTTGCATTTTGTGCTTCTACTATGATTAAGTAGGCTATGTAGTTAAATTATTTATTTTTGTTTGTTATTTTAATAAATGTTTGTTATTTGTTATTTTAAATCGTTTTTGTTGTTTTACGATCAAGAGTCTCCACAGGGTATTTTATTTTGAAAATTGCCCGGATTCTCAATGCCGTTCTGTGTCTGACTTCCTGCCTGGTTTGTGCTGCTTGACACGGCTTGCAGCAAAATAGACCTGCTACCAAGGCTGCGTTCGAAAAAGTATTTTTGATTAGGAAGGTTCTTAACTGAGTGAAGTGAACCGGAAGTACTGTATTTCAGTGGCAGCCATGATAAGAGCTGTTCGAATTCTCTAAAAGCTAAGGAAAAGTGCTTCAATGCTCCCTTTCATATCTCTTTTAGCATAGGGTACACCGGACCATCCTTTATGAAAGGAAAGGAGAGAATGCCGTCCCAAAATTCCTTGCGGCGGCAACATTTAAAGCGGCGCACGTTCTCAAACGATAAAATCCATCAACCACATTTAGCAAGACCCTTGCAATACAGACGCACATTATGATACTTTAATAAGACTCACAATTACCTTCTTTCTTTTGGTTTGTTTTCTTTTGGCTGTTTTGTAATCCAATACTGTTTCAACACCATTTTATGTTTCGGGTTGGTGAAATAAGCCATTAAGTGTTTTCTACAATAAAGAAATAAATAAATCACCAACCATGACGGATAAAGGAGGTTGATCACCATGCAAGTTACCATTGGCCTTTTCTCTTATGCCATAACTTGCTAATATGCATATAGGCCTGTCTTAAACTGTCAACAATAACGGAGAAGCATGCAATCTGTTAATGTTGCTGCAGCATGTAGCCTCACGTTATGTACTGCAGCCTTCAGCAAATTAATTTTACTTCAGTCGCAGATGCTGACACCCGTAATAAAAGGCAAAGATCAAGCTGGATAACCTCTACAGTAGGCGTCCCACACACTGATTTGTTTGTTGCGGCCTGCCACATTATCAACGCTGATTTCCGATTGATTTTTGTAGTCCATCTTCGGAATATTGTAGTTTTACCACGTGAAGCAACGTCAGTAACATCCGCCGTCGCTTAGAAAAGAGCAGTCGGAATCTCTGAGCCCCGCGGTCCTCTTTCCCGAAGTCCTTATAGATTCTCCTTTACATCTTTCCTTGACCTCATGACGTTTTCCATCGAGGTCAAAGAGAGGAGGTTGGGAAAGGAGATTTTGACTTTTTGACCGCAGCCCAATTCTCTGCAGAACGGAGCGCCGCTTCTCGGGCGCGCGGCCACTGCGCCTGGTGGACTCACGAGCATCGACTATAATGGCCACGATTAGCTCTGACAACTGCGCCATAGCCAGTGGATTTTAGGGGTGAGAGTGTAGCCGATTTCATAGAGATCAGCACAGAAAGAATATCCGCATTTATGTCGCAGTCGGTTCTTCATACTGAACAAAAGTTTGCACCTTTATCCCATGTGATAAGGCCTTTATCCTGCAATCGTGTGCTTTCACATAGCGGTTCGGCTTTACAGGAACGAGCAGCGTGCCACGGCATGTCGGCTGTGATCGTTAGTCTTTCTGTCTCGTGCCTGTCACCAACTTTCCCTGCTCAGAGGCGGAAAAATTCTGCTCCATACCTTTCATAAAGTGCAGCGAGTCGGCAGATTGGCGCCATACCTCTGTGAAAGCTGCTAGTGTTAGGAGCTAATTACAAAAGTTGTACTAGGAGTGTTTTTAGCTTTTAGCTGAGTAGTTGGCGGTCCAGTCAGTGTCTGACAAGCTTTCAGATCTTCTAATGGCCCTGCTGTTCTCCCCAGAGATCAAGGAGAATGATCCATAGGCTGTATAAAAAAAAATGTTGATCCCACAAAAGCTGTGATGCTGTGGCACCAGGACTCCATCAGAACCAGGAGGCCAGAAGAGGGTGATTGTAGAAAGTGAGCATTCTAATGAGGAGGTTTAAGTTGAATGATTTATAAGCATCTTGTAAGTTTATACCAATTTAATGTTATGTTTTATATTATTATATTATATTTAATATCAAAAATTTGGAGGATTTTTTCCATCTACCAGCCACCTTGGCAGGTGAGCCAAAAAGTTAAGTTTCCATAGTGCTGTGCTACCATGTGACCTGACTCGTGTTCCAGGAAATTTAACTCATCTTCCATATGTTTTCCATGACTGGAAAATTTTTCAACTGTTTCCCAGGTTTTCCAAGATGCGTGGGAACCCCGCACTGTGTGATACAAGTTTAAATAAACACAGGGACACTTAAAACTGGCATGTTTAGGAAACAAGCAGTATTGTAATTAATGATAGTAACAAACTGGAGAAACTTCTACAACAAAAGGTAAATTAGTACTAGTACTTGGCATAGTTTCAGCGAGTATTGAGAGTGATGCAGAGATCGAGAAGTGGCTGATGATATGCCACTAGAGGTTCAGCAGCAAATGCTGATCCCTAGAGTGGTATGCCCTCTGAGTTCCATCGGCACATACCGTTTCCATGCCGCTTGAAAGTGGTAAGCCACTGTCGGACTATCACACCAATACCCCGACACATATGCAAATGAGCTCCTGGCATAAATGTATATTTTATTTTTGTCTTTACTGACAATGGAGCACCGTAAATAAAGGGATGTAAAGTTTCTCTTGGCGATTCTGTTGTTGGGATATGTTGCTTTTGAAATTACAGTCATTTCATAAATCCTTACCAATTTACCCAAAGCTATGGCATGTTAAATGTGTTCGTAGAACAAGATCACACATCATACTCCAGGGAGTGGAACATTAACCAGGCATATGTATGGCAATTCACCATATGCCATTTTCTACTGACCTACCACTTTTGATAAGGCGGCATATGCCATTTTCAAGTCGCACCTTTAATCTACTGCGGCTATCATGATTGCATAAGTGAGCACTACATTATATAGCCACATACGGAAAAAGAAATGAAGATTAAAGATGCGACTTGAAACTCGCCAGGAACAGGTTTTTGAATCTGTGGATGGAGTCAGTCCGCAGCTGCTGCACACAACACGCGCACGGCAACCAGTTAGTTTGAAAACCAGTAGGGCTACAACACCGGATAATTGTCTTTTAAAGAAAACCATGAAATCTGTGACCCGTGTGGAACAAACTGAGGCTACTTCGACATGTGTCTATCAGTGTAACTCCATTAGATTAGCTTAAGTAATGTTTGTATATGACAAAGATGTAAAAATAAATAAATAAATAAATAAATAAACTAAAAAAAAAAACGGGTCACTGGTTACAAATGACAGTCAACTCACCTGATCTGAACTGCACATGAATAGTTCTCCCATGCAGCGATGTCCCGTTGAGTAGTTGCATGGCATATGGCACGGACACTTCATGTTTGTAAACGGCAAAACCAAATGTTTTCTGTTTCCCATCCGAGTCTTTGGGGATTTTTGTTCTGATGAGAGGTCCTGCCTGCAAAAACAATTAAATGAGTGTACACAAACAATAACTAGCTATAGCTAACGTTAGCTACCTGCCGTAATCGACTCAAGAACACGAAATTGTCCACAGCGTGTGTTACAACAAAACTTTGCGTTACAACATATGTAAGTGGGCCACACGTATTGCACACTTCGTATCTTAAGCTAACATTTTCGGACCACCTCAACTCGATTTCGATTTGCTAGCATTGTCTGTGTTATGCTATCCTTGACATTTGCTAGCTATGGCTAACTTTAGCGACAACAGCACCTGTAAGAACAGTTCGAACAAAAGCTCCTCAGTCACTCTCGCATCTAAGTTTCTTATGAAGAGCGTCCGATCCGCTTCGTCCTCTATTCCCATTGTATTTGAGCAAATACTGACACTCTCCAAGTTTTATGTTGTGGCTGCTAGCGTCTAGCTTAAATAAGCCGTCTGCTCAATATAAATGGAAGGCCTAGGTTGTCGTAAAGTGAAATGCCGTTACATTTCTGCTTCCCGTCGTACTGAAAGGCGGCTACTTTACGACACATGCATACACGCGTATTCATCGACGCTGTAAATGTTTTGTTTGCTTTGAGACTAGCTCATAAAACTCCAACAACTGATGGATGCAAACATGTTTTCATTAAACACATTTTGTAATACATGACATATTTAATCATGGTTCGAAACACGGGGGGGATTGGAGGGATCTAGCCCCACACCAAGAGGCAAAACCAACATTTCAGGCGGGTCTTTCTTATCTGTATTTTTAAATATTACAATGTATTTCCCGTACTCATGACTTATATTCAACAATCTTGAAATACGATTTCAAACACCCCTAAAACGTACTGTACCATTCCCTAACATTGACGTTAGTTGAACGTCTTGTCTGTCTGCATCATTCGCAGCGTAGCTTCTCCAGTCCGGTGCATCACACGCCAACGGAGAGCAGGTTAATGTCAGTAGTAACTATCTAGCTGCTTTAATACACTTAAGTTTCCTACCTTCAGAGACTTGTAATTAGCATTTCTTTTACTTAAAATGAGCAATCTGATGTTAGCTAGCTGAGAGCCAACCCTGTCATTTCATTATAATTTCATATTTTATGTAATTGTCAGCTAATACTGGTGTTCAGGCATGAGCAGTGAAATCGGGGATTAGTTATTGTAGAGATACATTTTTACACAATATAGAGTTTATTATTTCATTTGAAGTCTTTTGTGAGTTCTTTTACAATAAACTCTGGAATTCCCAAAAATTCCCAATTCCCCCAAAACAGTGTATGACTACTGCTTTATTGGACGCAGATTACATCATTCACAGTCAACATGAGCAAGAGGAAAGGAGATATTTGCTAAAAAAGAGTAAGGTGAAACTTTAAACTTGATGAGAATGATAAAAAATTAGGAATTTGAGATAATAATGCAGACTGTATTTTATGTGTCTTTAGTTCTGTATCAACACTGTGTGGGTTTGTTTGGAGCGGTCATGATGGTCTGCTGTTGTGTGTCTGACTTGCTGGCAGTTTTGCTCTAGAATGCTTGGTGACCTCTGACTACAAATGTTGTTGTGTGGTATGGGGCACCTGTGAACTGGTGTAATGAATTTGATTCATCAACATCTACAGACTGGTGACATTAGTTAAATAGCTACAACAATAGCACGGAACAGTAGAGCTTTGAACATTTAAAATGTGTTAGCTTTAATCCATTAATTATTTTCTAGGTTAATTTTAAATACATGTTAAAGACAAATTGTTTAATCTCTAAGTAAATATATATATCATAATTCACAATTTCCCAGAATCTAAGTTGACATCCTCAAATGTAAAAAAAAAAGAAAAAAAAAGAAAAGAAGCTTGTTTTGTTGGTTTTGACTGACAGTTTGAAATATAGATAATAAAGCTGAATCCAGAGAATGTCTGGCTTTTTGTTTCTTGCTAAATAATTTTTTTAATAATAATAATTCATTGTAGATTCATTTTCATTGACTTATTGATTAAGCAACTCATAACTTCCATTTTACAGGCAAGGCTACATAAACATGACTGTCCTCATCTGCCCTCTCATTTTCATTCCGTTTCTTTTCTGAGAAAGAGAAGCCATCCCATGCTTTGTTAGATGTGTATGCACACTCAAGCCTGTGCAAGTATGGGTCTGCTTTTTATTTTATGCTTTGTTATTCTACCACAGTTGCACATCCACATGACTGGCCAGAGCAGAAAAATGGCTGAAGCTACAGCATGGTAGTACGGCTTTCAAATAGTGCTAGCAGCTCATATTTACAGGGCTCCGGTTGTGAAGTCAGTACATCAGAGGACACTGCTGACACTGAGTTGACAGAGAGCTCATATGTTGATGCTAATAAGTTTAAGAATAATAAATAATTAATTATTAATAAATAATAATAATTAATCAATCATAAATTATGAAACATCACAGCGTTATCTCCTAATTTGAATTGTTTATTATTAATAATTAATTAATTAATTAATTATAATTTAATATAGGAGACAATAAAAACAAAAATAATGTATAGTTTTAAACCATCTTTACTTAGTGGCATACTTAACAGACTATTATATTAATGTAGTATTTTGTATCACACTTGAGAACTACAGACTGGGAAGATTGTCCTGGTCTATATGTTATTCAGGAGATGATAACATGTCATTTTATCACAAATAAATACAAGGGTATGTTCACTATCAGTACCTGAAACAATTCCAGTCACATCCACATCAAATAAAAGGGTTGGGCAAATTTGTTTTATTTCTTAAGTTACTCGCTACTCAAGTAAAGTAAATACTTTTGTACTCTAACTCAAGTAGTTATTTTGATGAGCGCTTTTACTTGAGAACTTGTTTTTGGCTACTCTACCCACCTCTGTCCAAGACACAAAAGGCCCTTTTCACAGCAGGCATTTTGACTTGTCATAGTAGAAAAAGCACAGATGTTACTATGACATTAACGGTGGCGTAGTTCAATTCATTCATCTCTCAATAAGTCCGTGAACCAGCATGAAAACAAGCCAGTCATTTAATTAATTACTTACAGCATTGCTGGCCTACAAAGAAAAGTTAAACAATGCCCTGAATGTTGCCTTATATCTATTTTTTAATGTTTTGTTTTAATATCCTTTGCACTGATGTTTGCCTTTAGAAACACTTGATACATTTTTCTGTCTTTGCTAATATAGTCCCTTTTCTCCTCTGTGGCTATAAGGGGAAGGTTTTCTCACCTCATGGCTCACTATGATCAAGCGCCTGGAAGCAAGTGCGGAGGAGTGTGAAGGTCAAGTGAGTGGCGTGAGAGGCTTGACTTCCACCTTAATCAGATGGGCCTCTGTGACAGTCCTCCATATTAATGAGATTAGCTTAAACTGTAATGATTTTTTCCTTCAAGCCTGGAAAATATCCTCACAGATTGTGACCTGTTAAAGCTCAAGTAAGAGAATCAGCGATGGCACATCAACGACAATTTGACCGTCCTTCTTTTACTTTTCTTGCTGTTTAAGTTAAGAAAGATTGGAGTGGACCAAATGCTATAGCTATTAGAGAAGATTCTACACCTTGCAATCTCAATGACATATTTATTCCATGCAAGGTGCTGTTCCCATCACTAATATTACTCATGTGGCAATAAACACTGCAATTTAACACCAAAATCTTGGCTCACATCGTGTCTTGTGGGACCTTTGCTGTTGTGTGTAGTTGTTAACACTTGACGTATTGGATGTATTGGCGCTTTCCCACAAAATACTTATGATTTAAAATGCTGCAATGGAAGTCGTAAAAAAAGCCTAAACCATAAAACCACACCTGTGCAGTATACTATTTGATGACTAAAGCCCTTGAATCTATTTTGGGTCCCTATATTGCCATTACCCCATACATCTCCCTGATGTATTTCCTCCTCCCTTTTTATAACCATTGGAAGGAATTCAGGAGAGCACTATGAAAGTGCTGTTCCACAGGACAAAGCATACAGTGTGGAGATGGGGGAAAGGGGTAAGTGAACTGGAAGACAAAACAGGCAGACCTGCTGAATCTGTAAAACCCTCATTACTACCTACAGAAACTGACTGTATGCAACACTGTGTATTTTTGCTTTGCCAATTAAAAAAACATTTTGCTTTAGATTTCTAAAACGAACTCGATCTTGTTAAAAAAAAATCTGTCAAATCTCTTTAACAATAACCATTTCATTCATTACTCTAAATACTGTATACTAAGCTGTGCTGCAGAGTCTGAAAAGTAGCAGTAGATGGCAGCATTGATCCAATGATAATGGATTGCATTAATGGGGGCTTCATCTCTGTGGGGATGTCAAATGCTATGCACTGTGGAAAGAATATTTCTGAATTTAAAGAGGGTTTTTTTTTAATGCGGAGAAGGGAATTGGATTCGATTGTCATAGGAATATCCTCTTTTCATGTTTCTCTTTTAGCCTGTAGCCCACTTTCAGGTTTATTATAACATAAAAGGGTTCTAAATGGCTTGTTAGAGAGGAGGTATTGTTGTCCATGAACTATTTTTATTTTCAGTTTAAGTAGAGAGTTCCTGAGTGAAAGTCAGTGGTCCACAGAACAGATATATTTTATGCATTTACAGTACATGTACTTACATTGAAAATCATCAGGAATATGGTACTAATTTGCATACTATAAGGCCTTTGCTGCTGTTCATGCCACTATCAGAACATTTATATCTTCTTTTTAGATCTAAGACATTGACAAGCAGAGCACTGTTGTTGCTTTTTAGTCTGGGTAGAAGTAGTGCTCGAGGAAAAAAACATTGTGCTAATTTGAAGCAATTACAGAAACCCTTTTGGAGCTAAGTATGAAACAGCGGTATGCACTCGAAAACACATCGCACACTACGCTAACTGTCATCAACATGAGTGCATCAGTTTCTGTTTTAATGACTTGGTTTTTGGATGCCTGCGCATGAGACTTGGCCGCATTGTTTTAATTAATAGAGGATGAAAAAAAAGCATGACAAAATGGGAGCAATGCTCAAGGGCAAGATGGTAGCCAGTGAGCATCCATCAAGGGGTGAAGTGACAGGGCAGGACCCTAGAAATAGGCCACCACCAGCCACCCCTTCAATGGTCAGATCTGGGTGAAATCTTATGGCGGTTTAGTTCTTCCACACAAGGCTACTGTAATGAGGTTATATACACACACACATACACGCACACACTGTATGCTCACTTCCATTATGACCTCAGGCCTGCAGGGTTTTGTGGGACTGTGAAGTGATTGACTGGTGGCTAGACACTGCTGTCTCCTTCACCAACATCTAGCCTTGCTTTAGGCTCCAACCTATACACAACACACCCATCCGCTGCCCTTCCCTCCTGTTCATTAATATTCATAATTCATGTGGAATGAAGTGATTCAGGATCATTAAACGCACATGAATATTTGTCGGATGAAAGTTTAATTAAGCCATCCCTCTTCGGCAGCGTGATGT